GTAAGTTCAAACTTAAGCAATCTATTTAATGGACTGAATGAAATCAAAAACAGCCTGTCAGCTCCTACTCTACATTGAACTGTTTTTCTTCCAGTCAGAAAATGTAATAAAAAGTGACAAACATACAGATAGCAGCCATTTATATTCTAGAGCATCGCTTCAAAAAACAGGATGAGAAAGATTGTTAAGACCCTTTATTAGAGTAGTGAGCACCATTTTCCTTTGCTTCAGACAATTCAGGTTGAAAACGTATAGGTTGAAAATCTGATAGGATGAATCTACTTATCTTGTACGTATTGTTTCATTACTTTTTTTAAGCACATGACAATGTGATATTAAAGTGCTCTTGCTCACTACAGCACTGTTTTGTTTTTCTGCAAAGGTTTCATACCACAGTGGTGCTTTGAGCAGAGGACAAGCCTGACTTGTGTTGGTGCTGCTGGTTGTGTTATGTAACAGTAAAAATGCTGAGCAAGCGACATGGCAGAGAAAGACTGCAGTGCCTTGAGACCTGAGCAATTAGAATTAGAAACCTGAGTCATTCATCCTGGACTAGATATCTTGAGAAATAAACAATATAATATTCGTATTACAGTCAAAATGAAACCCAAACAGAAAAGTATTTTCCTTACTACACATACATTTTCTTAATAAAGATATTGTCTTTAAAATTTCATGTGTAGTACAGTAAATTGCTTGATTCCGGTTGTTTTTGCTGTGAATATACAGCGCCACAAAATAAAACAATGTAACAACTGCTGATTTCTTACATGCTGTATGCACGCTCCGAAAAAAACACACACATAAAATCATTGGCTCTTCTTGCTTGGCATATAACCATCTTAAAATTATGTTTTCTGACATCTTTGGCAAAAATCATTACATACTATTTGGATTGCCTACTATGCCATTATGAAAAGAGATGCAAAAATCTTAGATTTCCCTAACCTGGAAGATAAAAGCAACAAATACCACTGCTATTTTGCCAAAATAATAGACTATATTTTGTATAGTAGCACTAATCATCTACAGAGGTGGATCACATCCAGATTTGTTGTAAATAATTTATATTTAAATGAATTTATAAAAGCTTTTGTTCCAAATTCATAGGGTTCCCCAAGTTCTCATTGTGTCATGTCTAATTTATTAAGTTATTTATTTCTGTCTTTTGTTCCTTTTAACATTTGTAATATTTCAGCAATCTGGTTTTGGATGCTAAAGTGCACGTAAAATCCACAACCACAAGTGGGGCGCAATGTCTCTTTTTTAGAGTAAAAGAATCTAATAATCCACTGAGTTATTCAGAAATTATCCTTGGTATATAATCAAACACATACAATAAATGTAATATAACATTAAGACATTATAACATATAACAGGTAATATAACATTTAGACATTTAGATTCTATAGGTACGTACTGTACTAGAACACCATCTATTCAACACAAAGCAAAGAGATCTTTCTCCTTTAATTTCCTTAAGCAACTGACATATCAGCAACGAGTGAAGCAGAAAGTTTTCATTAATGAAAAGTTTAATGGATAATTCTCTTTATGGAGACAATTATCATTTTAAATGGACGGAGCTAAATGTCTAAGTAATCTCGCATTATTCTTAGCAACAGTCTTATGTTACTAGAAACATTCCCAAAGCTTGTTTCCGCTCTCCTTTACTGAACTGTTGCATCATAGCAGTATAATCAAAGCCAGCAAAACCAGCACATAGCACTTTTGCCATGTTTGAATTCAAAAGCACCTATAAAATGTGCTGTTATGCTTTTCTAATGATATATGCAGTAGTGAATGACAAATTCAAAAAGGAGACGTGAGCCCTAATAAATCAACAGGCACATCAGAGCCCCATTACTTTCCTCAAAGAGGTTCACTAGACACAGTTCCACATTGAATAGTGGGGAAATGTGGCACTTCTGGAATTTTGTTGTATATATAGAAGATTAAGACAGAAGAGAAAAATACAGAACAAGCTGGGTGAAAGGAATCATTAACAGAGGGAAAGGCAGTTTCAGACTAATGTGCTGAGAGAAAGCCAGACGGGGGTCAAGCAGAGAATGCCGCAAGAGAAAAGCAAAAAGCTGACAGTGCACTGCCTGCTCAAGAGTTTTAGAGGGATGAAGAATCAGGAGACTATTTTTTAAAAGATTTTATTTTAAGATTACTATAATGCAGGCCTGTTGAAAAACGAGGGAAGCAATCAAAGACAAGAAAGATGCATGAAATGCAAGACGGATATTTCGTGAAAGGTGCATGTGAAGCTACCTTGCAATAGGTGAGTGGAAATAATCTCCTGAATGCAAGCAATACATTTATTAGAGATAATATTTAGCTTTTCACACAGGAATCATTTCAACATTCATGTTTTGCTCAAAATTGTTCACACTGAAATATGTATTGTATACATCTTTTGAAGGGGTGAGTATCTTTGCAAGGCACTGTATATTTGAGTGTATGTACCGTGCAGTACAAACTGTATATAAAGTCATTTTTGGACATGCAGAGTTTCCTTCCCCATGTCCTGTTTTATTAACTAGCTAGATGTACTGTAGTAGAAATAATACACTGTTAATTAAGCTTCTTCAGAGTTAAGTGTTTTTTTCTTAATAAGGGAGGCATGTTCTTTTCTGTGTTTTGATGCTCAGTACATGTAATGGCATACTGAACCAATGATTCTTCTGTGAAAAAAATAAAGTGTATAATTCTGAAAAGTTGAGCAATACAGGTGTTTAATATGAATAAGTGACAAAACAAAAAAGATGAGCCATCACTGCAAGCTAATGAACATAAAAATATATAGTTTCTGTGATGGTCTGATTTCAGTGCCAAGCTCAAATAACATACTGCTAATCCTGTTTTGTCAAACAACTACTGTATATACTGTACACATATATATATATAAATAATTAAATGCTTATTTTAGAAGCATGACACAGTTCAGTTCTTTGGATTTGAAATAAAATCAACCTGTCGCTTATTTTTTAGCTGCAAATTTCCAGAGAATACACAACACAAAAAATGTGTAACCTCACTTTGTCAAGAAAATAAGAATTATACCTCTTTTATATCTCTTCAGATAAATGTGAGGTTCCAGATTCATGTGAGTAAAATACTTTTTTGAAGTATTTCTTGCAAGTGCTTTGTGGACTACTCTGCACATTGCTGAACTTCTTACAGGAAGCCTTTTGTAATGTGACTGAATAGGAAACATGTTTGGATTACAGTTTTAAATTTCAAAATATAAACAGGAACAGAACTGTGGCTCAAAAGCAAGCTTACTAGGAGCTACCCTTATGGATTCATGCTGTGCCTGCTAAGGAAGATGACTCAGGACGAGCCTAAAGCCATATTCCCTATTACAATTTAATAGTTTAAAAAAGAGATTAAGTGAAGAGCAATTGTTAACAGACAATGTTTTAAATGAATTTGATTTTACCCATGGCTAAACTAATTTTGTAGTAAAGGATTGCTTTTATTTTTAGTGATCAAAGGAGAAAGACAGACAGCTGAGAGCTGAAATGTCAGACACAAGAGGGGCAGTGCTGGCATTTGGTTGAAATAAAGATGCTGCAGAGATCACAGGGATGGAAGCCAAGCTGGGTCCAGGCGGCTGCTCCTCTCACCCAACAGAAGGTGTGCAGGAAGGGGGTTCAAAACCCTGCCAACTCCACACAGCTGAAGGCTCTTTATCTTCTTTTACACGTTTCAGTTACATACTGTAGCTCACACTAATCCTCCTGAATTGAGCCCCTCCATCAAATCTTACACATAAAAAGTCCAAGCTTCTGCTCTTCAAGGTAGCTTAATGTCATTTTTTCATAACTGATCTTACTCACAGACCTTCATTGCTTCATTCATTTCATCAGGCCACTGACTAACAAAGACATTTATTAAACCGAGTACTGGGGCAACATTTATGCATGAATCAGCTGTGTGCCATGCAAGATACAAATATGGCATAAAGATTTAAAAATCTAAGTATATGCTTCAAATCCTAAAGTAAAAAAAAGTATGTTCCTCGGGGGACACATTGCTACGTCATTTAAAGCTGTGCTTTGATCTTTAAAGGCGAGTTGTTGAAAAAATTCAGAATGTCAGAATGTCTACAGATGTCCACATTTTTCCCTGCATGTTAAATAAACTTTACTTAATATGGTTTTGAGGAATAATTCATAATCACGTTACAGTTTTGTTCACAATGTGTAAATAATACAACTACTAGTCTATAAACTAATTAAAAGTTTAAAAACACAAACAGATGTTTCTGTCATATTCATTCATAAAGCAGCATTTTACACGGGTAAACCATTTGTAAATGAAAACCCAAATTAAGCATCTTAAATGTTATACATTGTATTGTTTAATTTAATTATGAGATGGGTGATGTCATCTTGACATCAAGAAAATGTGTGATTTTCACTAACACATTAAAGAGAATTTTACTGCCAGAACATAAATAATGGTAATTCAATTTGAAAACTACTGCAAACCTGATCATTTGAAAGACAACATATTTATTTAGAGAATGGATTAAGAGAAAAATTGTTACAGACCCAGTTTGTGAAGCACTATACCTGCTGAAACTTCACAGATAGATTTTGTGATTCTTAAATCTAAAAATATAAGTGTTGTGGTACCATTAGTTTAAAGAATTAAAACAAATGTCTGTAGTTAATACAAACCTAAAAGCAAATATATACATGCTTAGTTTGATGTATCTTACTATAGTAATATTGTTACCATGGGGGCATTTGCAACAGAAAGTAAGTAAAATTGTAATTGTAGTTTTAAATAGCTGTGTTTCACAATTTTAGGATAGCTTAGTCTTATTTAAGTACAAACAGTAGTACAATACTAAAATCTTTGACAGACTATTAACATTCTAGTTTAGGTAAAATAATGTAATATTAAGTTGTATTATTTCAGTACTTACATAAAATTAATACATTATTTAAAATAGCCTACTTGGGCTAAAACAAAAACGTTATTTTATTTTCCTTTTTAGCAGCAGCACTGCACCATCTACTGGTAGAGAAAGATGAGCATGATGCCCTCCAACTCTATAGTGTGACTACAGAGATTAAACAAACTATACCTAACAATAATGTGCCTTGTCATAAACACAATATGGAGAATGTAAATGAGTACTGTGTAATGAGCAGTCTTTGTTAACAAGATTATTATGAGTATGTGTGTATATGTATCCTGGGAGTTGTTGTGTAATTAAGTCCTGCACAACAAAGGGCATGAGTCCTTAAAAATAAATTGTCACCTCCTGAAATTGAAGATTAGCCTATCTCTTTAAGTCCTAAAATAATTGCCCCATTTAGGAATTTCATGAAGCAAAAAAGCTCATACAGTAAAACAGGACCTTTTTACCTCAAACCTTTGGCTTGGTTCATGTTCACATGAAAGCATCAGTACAGTATAATGTTCAGAAATTACACTCCATTACAACCTCCCAACAGCTTCGTCCTCCTCCTATTAATACTCTTCCCCCATAAAGTCTATGGGACTTATATAAAGAGTTGTATAATATGTGGTTTTCTGAATACACAACCCTACTAGTTATTATACCACACCTTACATAACACTTAAATAACATGCAGGACATTGTAATGCTGAAAACGAATAACTGCAAGACACAAAAGTGGGGACAAATGCTAAAGTTTTTCCAAAAGACTGCATATCCTAAATATACTACAATATTTTTAATAATATATTTTGAATATTTAATTGAAGAGCAAGCACCCTTGACTGACCTTGAAGCTCCCACAAAAACGTATTTCAATCACACTTTAGATTGTAGTTTACTGAAGTAAAAGAAAATTTACTGCTAAGCAAAATCTGTAGGTTTCAGATACATCACAGTGTTTAGACACATCATTCAAAATTCCGGGATACAAAACCATATCATTTTCTTGAAATTAAATACAGCAAATAATCTCCCAGGATAATGACTAATGTAATATTTGCCATTTCACTACAGAATCATTCACTACAGTATACTGTGATGTCATGTTTTTGTTCATGCCAATAACACTAAAATACCCAATCAATAAAATGTACTGTACAAACATAAAAATGACCAGATCAGCTGCAAGCACTAGATGTTGTTGTAGGTTGAATGTGTGAAATTATTTGAAAGGCAGTGATTAATTCAAAGGGGTGGCATGGTGGTACAGTGGTTACCATTGCTGCTTTGTGCCTTAGATCAATTCCTCAGGTGCCATCTTCACGGAGCTTGTACATGTTCTCGCCTTTCTTCTGTGAGTTCCTCTGGGTTCTTGGGTTTTTCCCACGATCCAAAAAAAAAACAAGCCATGATGAGATTGTGTCTCCCTCACAACGAAATAAACCGCAACATAAAGAAGAATGAAGAATTGACTGGGTAACTGAATCAATGTAGTATATTTTTCCATATTTAGTGCTTTAAAATTGTTACCGTCCTGTCCACAAAATTCACCCCTCACTTGCACATACCTATTAGTGATATTAAGTTTCCTAACCAATTTAGAAATTAGAGCGGCACTGATTTAGCTGAAGATATAAATGTGGCAAACTAAGGTTCCGAAGTAACTACTTGTTAAACCTTTGTTGATGGACTCGAATAAACTATGGATCAACTTTGTAATCAGAGGCCCACTTTTACTCTTATTACCATTATAATTGTCTTCTACTTTTTTAGCAAAATGTGTTCTAAGTTGTAACAACCTCTTCTCTAGAGCTACGATACATTACATCCAACATAACAAAACATCTCTAAATACACACTTTTTCTTGAAAAAAATTGAGGTTATCTTATCATGAATGTTATCATCAATGTACTATGATAGAGGAAAACTTCTATTAGCCACATACAGAAGATGTCCATGACTTAAGTGTGAGTATCCTTTTTGGACATTACTATTAATTAGCATCCCTCTGTACAACTCTATCAGAATTTAATCATTTAAGGGTGAAAGTAGTTCTTATGATACAATATAAAGAAAAAATATGAATTTGAATTCATTATCATCATATTCAATATTTATTTGATAGCATTGGATGCATGTAGACCAAAACAAAACTAAATTATTTCCCTCACACAGAACAAATTAAGTCCTTCCTAACATTTCCTAGAAAGAAGACCTAGTAAATCAGATCTTTTTCCACAATGTTCAAGTTTTCCTGGTGCCAAATATAAAACACTGCATTTCTTGCAGAGTTCAATACAGCATCAATGGTAAATCATGTGTAGAGACCATGTACTGTAGAAAAAATGATCAACCTTCCACATTCATCATGTTTACATGCAGCATCACTATAAATTAAGAATGTCAAGTTTTATTGCACAGTCATTTCAGTTGGGAGTTTATGCCCACTTATTTAAGCTTATAGGATTGTTAGCAAAGGATGCATTACCTGAGTGTCTACAAATTCATAAATATATTTGCAGTTTTTAGCTGAAAGTAAGATTTAGGATTTGGATTAAAATGCTTAAAATGCATGTGCTTACAGTAACGCTGGAGAACAAAAAGCACAAGCTTTATATAAACTATTTTACATAACTTTTTACATTCTACACATTTTTGACATTTTTCATCTGCATCCCTTTTAATTCATGATTTTCGTATGATGCTGTATTTTTCATACATTATCCTGTGTCCTTCTACTAGGGTGCCTGGTGTTGGCTATTTGTCTGAATGTACTAAGATTAGGAGAAATGGTAATACTGTAGCTACACCATTGTTTATCATCCATTAAACTACCTTGATAAACCAGCACCAAGCATATGCTACTGTACACATTTATATTTTAAATGCATTTTTGTTCGCACACTGGTGTTTAAAGGCATTTAAACTCCAATTATAAAATCAGAGCTATTAGTTAAATTAAGCAAACAGCAAACAACTAAATCTGAAATGGAAAAAAGTGTTTGTACTGTATCAATTCTCCAAAGAAAGCACTTCATATATACTGTAGATACAGTAGAGTATCACAGACATATTATGTTCATCCCCTACATGATGGAGTGATAAAAACAGGTTATTGATTTAAATAACACATTTTGCACTTCTCTGCAGACCAGTGTTTATTTCTTAATCCTCTATGCCACCCAGTTCCAGAGATTTCTGCACTATGTTCTTCTTAAAGGGCATCATGAAGTCCTCAAAGTCCACTTCATAGGAATGACGCTCCCTTCGCTCTTCTTTCTTTCTGAGGAGTTGACTTGTTGTTGGCAGATTACCCCACATCTACAATGCAAAGATTTGTACAAGATGAAGTGCATGGCAGTTATGAGCTGGATGAAAATACTCTAAGCAGTCCCAATTTGAATTGATATAAATTGAGACAAGACCCAGTAGTAAATAATAAAATCCAAATGTGTTGATTAGAAAAAAATAGAAAACCAGTACATATTTTTGCTCTGATTAAATAATGAAAACATTTAATAAATATAATTTAGAAAACTTTAGACTATATAAGATATTAATATTGAGTTCCTGTTTTTTGCACCCCTCCTTACTTTGCAGAGCAACAAAAATTGTGACAACACACAGGCCAAGAATTTTGTGATTCTGAGTTTACTGCTACAAACATAAGCATACTTAACAAGCATACAGGTTTGTCAATTATCATCACACTAAAGCTATGTTATGGCTCAATAAAAGAAAGAATGATCAGTGCAATATAAAGTTATAAGAGGATACAGGATCCACTCATTCGCTTGTTAACAGTACCTGGAATTAAGCACCCAAGACTGACCTACAATTAATAGCTACTGTATGTGTATTATCAACCAATGACAGACCAAAGGAATGATTGGGTCCGCACTGTAACAGCTACTGCTGCTAAGAAATGGGCACCATTGAAGTCTCTTTATCATTATAACATGATTTGCATCTTTTTGGTGAATAATGTATTTGCCATTCAAATGGTCACATTATTGGCATTGAGTAGTTTGTCATGTGTATGGGAACTAGGAGCTATTTGAAAAGGGTGTTTTCTGATGGATCATCATTCTATTTTGATTCAATAAAGATTAAACATACAGTATGCAAAAAGGTAAAAAACAAAATTACTGTGATGACTATGAGGGGATTTGATTTAAGTACTCAAAATGTTCAAGGTACTGACATAGTCAATCCAATGGAGATCTTCAGAATCAACAATGAAATGCAAAGCAGAAGTGGAAATGTAAAAAAACTAAATGCATACTGTCTAAAACAGGGAACAGAAGGCAAGTTACCCAACCACAAAGCTGATGTCATGACTGGAACAGCTGAATACAATCCTTTTATCATTTAAGTAATAGAAATCAAATGAAGTAGACAGTCAAATGAGTAACAAACAAGATACTTTATGTTCTGATCGAACATAAAGTATATCCCAGACATCTATAGTCATAGACATATTGATATTTACATAATCAGTACTATGGAAATCATTCTGGAGGTAACAGTGGGTATACAGTACTAGTTATTACACTAGTAGGAGTTCATTAGTTGAATGGGCCTTAAGACCTACAGTATATCACATATAACGTTTGTTTTTTCCCGTCACAAACTTTATATTTGATGTCCCAGCTAAGGCATACAGTATGTAATAATCTCAATAGCATCTAAGGTTTATATTGAACCTGGCATGGTATTTCTTAAATTCTTATTTCTTATTTCTGTAAAAAAAACATTACATGTGCAAGGAGAATCTCCCTGTCTTTGATAATGGCAATTGTTGGAACAGAGTTGTGTAGGAGTTTTTTGGGGATTTAGACATTTGTGCTTGTCTTTGTAATGCAAATGTAATACAAGATAATGAAAATATTAGAGAAATCCCCTGGGTTTTGCCCACAATCCTGCTCCATTCAGTCAAAACTTCAATCCCTTGTAGATACTTACTGTTTTTGGCACAAAACTGATGTCGATTCTGTTCAGAGCTCCATTGGTTATTTGAGTGTTTTGATATATGACACTTTCCTTCAGAGACTCTTTCTTTCCACCGGAATCAGATGGTGATGGAGACACAGTACTTTGAGGTAGTAGAACCTGAAGCCAAAAAACAGTTTTTAATTTCTAAAACATAATTACAATTTAAAAATATACAGGAAACTAAATTATAATGAAAGACAACTTGCATTTTGCTGTGAAGAAAATAGTAAGCAAAGCAACTTTTTGAATATACTGATGCTATAAAAGGCACAGAAATTATATGACAGTAAAATATGTACAGTAAATTAACCCTATTCACATTTCTAGTGCATCCTCAAGAGACAGCAGTCTAGAACTTAAGCTAGAGATTTGTATTGTTGTAATCCCTGTGTTATTATAATGCCTTTCCATGCTTTGTACATGCTTTCCATGTACTGCTTTGACTAATTATTGTTTCACTAAATTGTACTTTTAGATGATTCATCTTAGGTTTGCAATTATTTCTATACCTTATTTTGTCATGTTTACTGTGTTATATTGAACTTTTGTATTAAAGGGTACCTGTAGCCAAAAAATGTCTTAATGTTATAAAAGAATAGACAAAAGCTGGTCTAGTAGACAAAAATAATGTATCCTTTACACGAGGAGATGCTGAAATCAGACTTTGCTTTGATTTAGAAACTTTAATTCTCTTGGTTCTGCACCACCCTACTACTTAAAAACTTGTGTTAGAAGAGAAGGAGACTTCCCTTTAGCTTGGGCCCTCCTACATGTTTAATGGGTCTTTCCCAGTTTAAGTCTCTGAGACTTAAATCACAAAAAAAATGCATCATGAATGTGTTCTCTAAAACAGAAAGCTAAGAGTTACTAACGTACATAATTTTATTATTTACCAGAAAACTAATACCAGACAATGATGTCATAACAGAGAACTACATAAATACCAATGCTCCATAAAAAAAACATAAAAACAAATAAAGCTCTACTTCTTTAGTTTTTTATACCCTTTAAGTGGTTTTGAATGTAAGTCCTGAATGTAAATCACTCTTACAATGAAACAATGGCTAAAAATAATGTATGACGTGGCAATCCATGTCACCAAGACATCTTATATTGTGAACTCATTCACTTAGAGGTAATTCTAACCTTCACGAACAATTTGCTTACAATTTGCTGGGCTGCAGTAACATGCTACCTGTTGCATGCTTCCCATTACACTAAATTAATTATGAGACAAAGAATATCAAAGGACAGCACAGTTACACTTCAACGCACAGTAAACAACACATACTGCACATGAATAACTAACATTTCTTATTGATAAACTTAGGTTCTGTAATGACACTTTCAGCTGCATTTCAGGACTGTGCTTTACAGTGATAAGACATTCTCTGGTATAGATTCTTAAGAGTGGCACTAATTCTTGAGTGCAAACAATTTATACTTGTTAATACAATCTTGAGCTTTAGGAGATACAATAAAATCAGAGAAAAGACAAATACTGGCTTCAGAATTAATTTTATGCACAGGATGAGTTTTACCACCTTATCTTTTGTAAAGCTGGCAGTTGGTTTAGACTTTGCAGCCGGTTTTCCTTTTCCTTTTTTGTCCTTAGGTTTAGGAAGAGTGTCAAATTTTGCTTGTACCATGTCAACTATTCTAAAATCAGCGTATGCTTTAGCAATGTCCAAGGCATTTTGCTCTGTAAAGTAAAAAAAAAGTTTTACAATGCAAATCGTAAAATGAAACAAATGCATGAACTGCATAAGCATCTCCAGAGTGCTTATATTTAGTTCAGTCCAGTGAGAGATACTAATTCAAATACAGATAACAAATATAAATTAAATTCAGAAAATACATGAGTACTCTCTCTAGGAACTGAATGAATGTAGTTGAGTACAGTATGCACACAAATTCCTTTAAGGGTATAACATTTAGAAAGCTAAAAACTTTAAATAATATGGTTTAAGACTAGATACAAGTTACGTTTAGAAATAATTAAATCACAGTTTGTTTGTTTTTTTTTGGTGGATACCTTTTTTATTTTCCAGCTGAACCTTCGCCCCACATTTGATCAGGTATTCCACACAGTTGGGCCGGCAGCTTTCTATAGCTCTCATCAGTGGAGTGGCTCCATTTATTGCAGGAGCATCGATGGTGGCACCTGAGTTTACCAGCAGCTCAATGATGTCCAGCTGTCCAGCATGACAGGCGTGATGAAGGGGAGTCCAGTTAAATTGGTCGCATGCATTGACATTAGCCCTGAAGCATTGAAGGAAACAATGGGTACTTCATTTACTCATGACACTGTTTACATTACACAATTCAAATTAACAACAGAAACTGCAGCTCTACAAATACTATAACTAGCATTACTTATTTCAACACAAGGTTCAAGGTTACTCATTATATAAACTGATATTCCTTTATAAAAAATCACCCAAAATGGACAGACATGCATGAAATTTATTTCAGTCACAAATCTGTTGGCAGTGTAGTACATGAATTTTAGACTGATGGCATCACCTTTTTAAGTTAACATATGATGGCATTTCTCTCTTCAGTTTCAGAATCTTCTAAAGCTGAGGTAATGGACCTTTCACTGGTTTACACTGCATTAACACCGTTGTGTGCTCTGGGACAAGTGTGCAATATTAATTTATCTTAAAAGAACACAGGGCCAAAACATCTTTCTATCCCTAACAAAAGAAGGTATTGGTCAGCTTTTTCTGCTAAGCAAAAGCAGTGGTCTTTGTGGACTTGTGAGTCTTGGATTTATAGCCTTTTAAAGCCAGTTAACCCATGCACCTTGTGAAGAGAAACTTCAAGGAAAAAGTACACACATTAATTCCAGAAATAATTTAACTTTTAAGATGAAAATCAATAATATGGTCTTTTAGTTCATGGAAGCTGAACTAGAACCAGAAATGGAATAATACAAATATCAGAAGATTTTATTCAAAGCACCTCATAAACACTAAAGAGTGAATTATGCACATACTGTACAGCTGGTGCTGTGGAGTCACTCATCATCAGCTCTCATTTGAAGGAGAGCGCACAAGAAGGTAAAGTACAGTAACTTGCACAGAGTACCTTTTATTTTCACTTAAGTATACAGTAGATCACCTATAACTATCACTTATAAATGACTAAAGTAATACTTGATATTATTCATATAATGATATCATCATCATCATCATCATCATCTTATTATTATTATTATTATTATTATTATTATTATTATTATTATTATTATTTGAATACTATATGTTTATATCCACTGGAAATTAAATATCAAGTATTGGTTTTATTTGAGACTTGCAGGTGGGTCAGATGCTTTTTTAAAAAAACACATGATTTTTACCTGTAAACGTTTTTTCTTAAACTTTTCACTGGCCTTACCCCATGCTTATCAGAAATTTTGCCACTTCATAATTCCCACTAGAACAGGCACACATCAGTGGAGTTTTGTAGAATTTGTCCGTGACATCCACTGGAACACCCTGGCTAAAGGCAAGACTTAAGGATTCAAAATCTCCGGTTCTAGCACAATAGTTAATGTTAGCGTAATTTTTTTCAGGCTCTTCTATGTACCACACAGAATCATCTTCAATGGGATGGCAAGGGGGGTGGTCGCGATCGAACCTATTGGTGTCTGTGTAATGCTGGTAGCTTTCAATCATGAACTGTGGAGGACCTCCATCATCCCTGCGACATATGAGGTCTTTAGGAAGAGTACATATTGGCATTGGGATTGAGAATTTTCCCTTTTTCTTCCCTTTTATCCCCTTTTTTCCTTTTTTCGTCTTAGTGGCATATGATGACAAAAGGAAAGCCTTTTGCAGGAACTTGGACCCTTTAAAAAACTCATTGATATTTATACACCCCTCTCGGCTTTTGTCGTGAACCATGGCTATTTTCTGGATCTCCTCCAGGTTCACCGGTGCACCTTTTTCCTGAAGAACTGTCACAAAATTTTCCTTTGATACATTTTCAGCCTCTCCTTCTATGCTTCCGAATGCACTGCGGAGCACAGCCTCATTTTCAAAGGACCAGTCATGAAGTCTGATTGCCCAGGGTTCATTGGGGTTAACTGCTCCAGGTTTGGAGTATTTGGCATGAAGACTCTCTGCCTTTCTAAGCTCCTTCATGGCTGATTTATGTCCATACTCTTTAGCAAGCAGACGTGGAGTCAGTCCTTCAAGGTTTTTCAGTTTAGGATTACAGCCTGGAAAAAGCAAATGCTCACAGCATGATGTTAAAAATTCTTACTCTTAATTAACAGATGCTTACAGTATATCCTTGGTGACTTTCCTAAAATAATGTGTAGTACTAGACTCATGCTAAAATGTGACTTAGGGAAATAAGTCATGTATATTGTAGTACAAGATATAGACTCAGAAATACAAAGATAATATAACAAACCAAAAAGAAAAATAATAGACATTACTATGGATTTAGAAATCCCAATTAGAATATCAAATAATACTTATAGTGTCAGCAAATAGGGGGTATCATGGCAGTCCTGTCATAGAAATTACAGGTGCATTGTCAATGATATTTGAATTAATTCAAATATTCTCACCATTGACCCTGCAATATTGGTGTGGCCAATCTGGACACATCAGTTTTCAACTATAGACAGAACCCCAGGTCCGGGATTGAACTCAGGTCCCCAGCTATGCGAGCTGATCACTACATCACTATCCCTCTCCAGTCAGTTATCCATTATTATAGATTTATTCCATTACTTAGAATATAGTTAATATAACACAATTTAAATTTTAAACTTATCGATAGTGTTTTCTCCTGCTTCCTGTGGTAGCCAGATCATAAAGTAAAAACTTTTTACAGCTTTTACATTTTTTTACATTAAAAAAATTTTAAGCTCGATTGCATGTACAATATAAGGAATTTGACAAAAGCTGAAGAATCACAGAAAACACTTAATGGGAATCAATGACACCTGAAAAATATAAAAAAAAATTAGATTATATTTTTAACATGATGTAGATTTTGCATTACTACTTCACAGTTTATTTGCTACCTCTCTGAGAGAGAAATTTGCAGCAGTCAGTGAAGCCTCCTTTGGCTGCATGGTGAAGTGGTGTATTCTCATCCATACTCACGACTCCCATATCAGCCGAATATGCAGAAAGCAGTTGAATTACCTGCATGTCAACACAGAAATTCATTGATGTGGCAAAAAGAAAAATGTTTCTATTTATGGATGTTATTTTATAGCAGGATCTCATAGATTTTTGATTGTTTTTGTTTCGCAAAGCAGCTTGACTGAAATTTCTTTGAACTTTTATTTTAAAGACATCCTAAATTTCCCATAAAAGCTTTTCTACTACAAATATAATCCCTGGTCAGTCAACTGTGACAGAAGTGTTCCTGCTTTGTATCCTGATGTCATCAGATATCAGAAGCTAGGCAAGGCTGGGCTTCGTCTATCCTGGAATAGGAGACCTCTAAGGAAAACAAGGTTGCTGCTGTAAGTGGAGATGGCTGGTACAATTCCCTCTGGAACAAAATATGCAAACCAATGACTGGAGACAAAGTGTTTTCTTCAGATGAGACATGAATCTGAGGTCCCGCTAACTCTCTTTAAAGATCCCATGATACTTTAACAGTAGGAGTGCTAGTGTCCTGAATACATTACACTCTGTACTTGGAAAATAAGGCTTAACCACTTGAATTGGGGAAGCAGTTTCTCACTTCTCCACCACATCTGTTGTGAAGTGGAGCTTCTGGTACATAATGGCTGCTGCACATCACCCAGTGTGGTACTTCAATTGTGGATGAATTGGCTCTCCTCCTAAATGTGAAGTGCTCTGGGATCCTTTGTGATAAAAAGTGCTATACAGATCAAAGCAATTATTATTAAAAATGTACACATATAAAAGTTAAGTTTAAGTGTTAAGTAAGGAAACTATATAGTGAAATACTAAACCAAACTGTTTATTAAGGGCAGAGTCTGAAACAGAAGGGGTTATCAGGGGTCTATTTCAATATTTGATAAGGCTACATAAAATATAATCACATTGGCTTGTGCTCTTGTTCTCCAAGACAATGCTAAAGCTACTTTGAAACTTTAAAACATATTCAGTTTGGTCCCTCTTGTATTAATGGCTGAACATTTTTTTATTTCCAAATTTCAATGAACGTCCAAGAGGAACTCATTTTGAATGAAATGTCATTACCTGTTATATACCAGCTACAATTATTCTTGCTGGGTCTCCAGGACCCCGAGAGAAGTACTATACTTTAATGTTTTGTACAAAATAAAAACTTTATTATCCATGTAACTCTTATACATATATAACTCTGCCTTTCATAACTGGGTCTAAATGAATCAGGGAACTATGAAACAATATAACTATAGTTACAGGACCTCAAAAAATCCTCCTTCAGCTGCATAGTGGGCAGCATGGTTTCTTCTCTTGTCTAGAACATTGACATTGCCCCCTCTCTGTAGAATTGCTCGAACCAGTTCCACTGTGCCTGCTTTTGCTGCTTCCATTAAAGCAGTATGACCTGTAATCTGGACAAGAAATGGATCATTATCATTTGAAATCCTGCACTAAGAAAAAATGAGGGACTTCTCCAACCGCCACATACTGTAATGATGTGCTTGCCTTATTGCATCTTTAGTCTTGCATTCTAAAGTGTACATTATGGGGGGAAATCATTTTAAAAAGCTTCTAGCACTACTCGTCCAAGAAGGTCACAATCCAGCAAATGTTATGGGCCTTCCTAAAACCATGACTGTAAGCAATTTTATTTTCAGCACTGAAACAGGTGGTTTGTTCAGTTGAATAGTTTTCTACTTAATATTCACTTATTTAGGACAATTAACTAAATTAATTTCTCTCAAGAGACTTATGTCTCAAGGCTTTACCAATTTGATTGGATCTGAGCCTTTAAGAACTTAATTGGAATATTTTCTTTTTATTTTTAATCTCAAGAGATTAACTCAAATATTAGACTCACATATTTAGACTTGGTAGATCTGAATCAAACACTTACTGCACATCTACCAAATTACTCTCCAGACAAATTCATGTCAATTTACCTCATCTGTTGCATTTGGATCAGCTCCATTTTCCAAGATGTTCATGCAAATAGTGACACAATCTTTTGCATGCTCACAAGCCAGGAGAAACACGGGTTTTCCCTTTCTTGAACAGTTGTTGACATCAGCCTTGTGCTTGAGGCTGATCTGAAGACAGCACAGGTGTCTTTTGGTTGGAGAAATACAATAGAACAAAACACCTGAAAATGATAATGGACAATAATAAAGGTTAGACAGGTCTAAGATATATTGGTATAATTATAGCTTTTACTTTACAAAATATTGATTTTTAAACTAAGATGAATATCATGACTTATTTTATCTATTTTATTGAGATATTATTTTATAATATCTGTGACTTATTTTACAGGATTTTTTATATTGTTTTTCATGGTCTGCTTTGTAATAGCCAGGATGCTGAAGGAATTCCTCCCTACTCCTTGTAGATCACAGATGTCCCTTTGTAGGGAAATAATAACCTGTATTCAGTAGTTTCTTCCAATGTAAGAGACCTTCAACTAATAACCATGAAATCTAAGTAATCCATGGGCTGTTTATCAGAAATATAACCAAGAACACATCGTGTTTGAAAGAACAGCAAATATAAGCAGAAATAACAGCATAAACTGTGTAGACATTGCATTTATCTCTTTACAGCTGCATTATATGAAAGCATTTCACTCTGATCAACATGGAGGAACAGTGGTTAGCAATACTGTCTTGCCACACTGGGGCACTAGGTTCAATTACTGGGCTGCTATCTGTGTGGAGCTTTGTATGTTCCCTTTGTTTTCCTGGGTTTTCTCCCACAGTCTAAAGACATATTCTACTGGTAGGTTCATTGGCTTCTGGGAACATTGACTGTGGCATGAGTGTGTGTGTCTGTCTAAATCTCTGTGTCCTCTGTGATGGACTGGCATCCCTTCCAGGGTGTATCCTGCCTTGTACCCGTCACTTACAGGAATAGACTCTAGCTCTCCTGTAACCCTCCAGGATAAAGTGGTCAGAAAATAGATGGATGGATTTAACTCTTATTTATTTTGTACTAGGGAAATGTGCTTTCTACAAAACTAAATATACTGTATAGAATCACCAGATTGGTAAACTATAGAATTAACATTATTAAAATATTATTTTAAATTAATTATATAAAGCTATTCAGTCTTGAATAATTCAGATTATTCAGTCAACAGTAACTGCATGAAGGCAAACTATCCAGAATTGTACTCACTAAGACTCCCTGAATTCAGCCCAGAAATTAAGAACGTTAAGACAACTGTTATAGTTAAATCTTTATCTCATGGAATTAGTCATTATAGCTCTGAAACAATTACTTCACTTTTGCTTATTTATATACAGTATACATCAAAATCAAAGCACAAGCTGAATCTGACATTAATATTTAAATATTTTGATTGGTTTATTGACTTTAGAAATCTTCAGATTGTTAACTGCTTTTCAGTCTCGATTGATTTAATAGATTTTTTTCTGTATGAGAAAAAATGTATGAGCTGTTGAAACTACTCATTATTATATGGACAAAATTACTTCATACATGTCACTATTAAATATCTCTTACAAGATGACGGGAGATAGTTGGTAGATAGAAAAGTCCTAATTAAAACATCTTTTGTTGATTATGAAGTCACTTAAAACAGTAAATAAAAGGTCAACAAATCATTGATTGTGATCAATGGATTTATTTCTTTTTAATGTATAAGAAAAAAGTAACAAAAATCAATTAAACGTATGTGGCAATTATCTATATAATCATAGCAGTCCATTTAAAGTCTGCTTCAGGTTTGACATCTTGTATTAGAATAAAGCACTTACTCTAAATCTTTATTACAGGGAATAATTACAACAATCTACAGTATTTGTTCATAGCCTTAATGAAATGCAATGAAACTTTGTGAAGAGTCTCAGGGAGAGAGACTTTTTGTGTGAATGGCTTATATGGAGACAAGGAAGCAGCTTAGCAATGATAGAAAGAGGACCTCAAGAAGTATAGGTAGAAGCTCAAAGACTATATGTTTTGATAGCTGTTTTCACTGCACTTGAACCTATTTTTAAAGGTCCCATGTTATGTCACAGCTCCAACACCCCTTTCTGGTAGTTCTATTTCTTCTTAACGAATTTTGAATGCATGACATTCAAAAGGTACTCATATCTTGAAAAGAACCCTTTTAAAGGGTTCTTCAGCTTTTTTTAAGGAATATTGCACCACTCTATCACGCTGAACCTTTCCAGCTCCTCCAGTTTGAAAGGACAACACTTCCTTTAATTCATACCTTTTTATGGCCCCTTAACCATTTGGTCTTTAGGTTTGATGTATGCTTTTTATTGTTATCCTACTATAAAGTCCCATTTGTGAACATCATTGAGCTTTTGTACAGAGGCATGTACAGTATTTCTGTCTAATATACTGCATCTGGATAAACCTTGGGAAATATCTGTCCATTAGGTGTAACTAAAAGGGCATGACCAGGGACTGCAAAACAATCCTAAAGCAGTACAGAGAACAGAGCAATTTATATTCTTCACATACAGTAACTAATAATGTTCTTTTTAAGTTTGGTTTAAAAACCAATTTGTATTCCATCCATTCATGTTCTACTTGACTGGAAAGCCAATTAGTTGATGCCTGGAAAATTCCTCTTTAGTCATTTCTTTCCAAGTTGCTATGGCATTCTACTACAGACACCAGATTTATGTGAACCTTAAATGTTAGTCTTGACAATAGGGTATCCTGAGAATAATGTTGTTTTTTTAATGTTCCCAAGTGGTATGATTTAGCCCCTATACCACTTTTCTGATTATGCAGTATATTTGGACAAAATTATCCTATTCCTGGCAGAGAAAAAAAAAAACAACATTGGGCATATCTAAACTGGAATGTCTCAAGTTTTGTTTACAGCGATTACTAGAATTGTTGAGGTTGATAATCCTTTGACTTGGATCTTTGGATAATTCCCAGTCTTCCTCTGTGATATGACACTGAGGTGAAACTTGGTGATTTGTCTCACTCTCCTTTGATATCCAGAAATAATAAAGGTCAACACAATGTGAGGAGTCAACAAAAAAGGTCAACTAAATGTTGATAGTTAAAAGCTTAGAATTTAAATATGACAATACATTTTCATAATGGCAGTAGTATGGCCTCACGTAGAATATTGTATATCATTTTGGTCACTAAGTTGTACAAAAATATTGCTGCTCAATAAACAGTTAAGAGAAGAATAGCCAAATACTCTAGTCTGGGGCTTGAGGAAATGTTGTACACTGATGGGGTGAAGGAACTGAATATCTTTAGTCTTGAACAGAACAAATGAGGGAACTGATACAAATATTTAGAGTTAACCCAGTGAAATGTAATATACAATGAAACATCAACCAGATCACACAAGTAAAAATTGTGTGGAAGTTCATTTAAAACAAAGAACAGGAAGCACTTCTTTGCACAGAGAGTTGCAGGGGTATGAAATAAATTATCCTCAAGGTAAGTAAATACATTGGCTTCTTTCAAGAAATGAATGCATGATATCCTTAGAATTAGCTACTAACTATCAAACAGACCAGACTGTCCCCTACATCCTTTTAATCACACGTACAGTATGTGCTTATTTAAAAAAGTGGTTAAAATTACAGTAATTATATTTTTAAATATAAATAGATTTCAATATATTTACATGGTATGAATAAAGTTAAGAACTGTATATTTAGAAATACATGGAACTGCTTTTTGCTGTGATGTTAATCATACTGTACATTCAGAACTTTTTTTTGATATACTATGTTGAAAACAATTCTGGTGTAAACCTACATTTAGTTCTTTGGAAATAATCTTTTAGTTACAGTATCATAAAAATCCCATACCATTTAGCAAGACAAGCAATGACAAAATGAGGGCACACAGATGGCTCTTTCAGGCCACCTGCTGGTTAGCCTCAGGTCAGACTGGGGAATTGTTCACCATGCTCCCTGTCACTACCCACCAATCAGAATCAGTCTGTCACTAAGGCAGACCAGGAGCTTTGGTCTGGCTTCAAGGGTCTGTGGAAATGGACATGAATAAATAAATGTTGCCCCCAATCTCTAGCCACATATACTGAATCATCTTTTGAAGGGGGACATACAAGTACAAGGAGACCTCTGTAAAAGATGCCAAACAATATAACAAAATAGCAAGTTGGAAGACCAACTTAATACTGTATACAGTATATACTGTACCTCCTCATTACAAATGAAAGGACCAAGACACTGTGAGTGAGATACAACTTCCTTCAGATCCAAAGCTATTTTGTAACAGGTATGTCTGTGCTTGGAAGCAATTTGAGGAAACAGAGACCTGTGTTGTTGTTTTTGTTTTGCATTTAAGGGAAAAACTATTTTTAGTAATACCAGTCAGAGCTTATATCTTTAGGATGCAATGTCTGGTTTGGCGAAACAATTCTCACAAAGTTTATTCACTGCTGTGCCTCTTTAAGTACAATATATATACTATATATGCAATATAAGTTGTTCATCTTTGAATAGAAAGTGACAAATAGGTTTTGTTAAAGGCTAAGTGTTGTAAAGAAAATGTCTTTGAGGCCTTCATTGCTCCACCATCTCTCTGTGTCTAAGAGACAAAGAAACCATATGACCCACTTGGTCGACTTTCATTCCTGATTATATAGGATATGTTATCTTATATTTTAAATAGGTATTTTTACTTTTACATCAATACAACATTCAGAGATATCACTCCTGAATCTTTATTGCTGAATGAGTATATATTCTCTATGTAGGCTACTGAATATCTGTTATCTTTTGAAAATTAAAATTTGGAAGAGGAAACATTCTCTTTTAGTATCCAATTAAAATTTTGGATACTAGCAATTTTCCTACTGTGGAGATCTTGATATCCTTCTGATTCAGAGACTCACCACCATTAAATAAATAATTATGGGTGAAAACAATCTGTGTAACTAATTAATTTACATTTCTCATATTATGATAAATACTGTACTGTACGTTTCAAGCACATTGGTCATCTCTTTCAACCCTGGTAAAAAGGAGCTCACAACAACAGTATAGGGGCAAAGGCCACATACATGTACTAAACACTCATTTACACCACTCTTATCTCCAAGCTTCATGTGTTGAGATAACAAAGTTAAAAAAATACATATTAACTTTTTGATGGTATTAGTAATACAGCATTCTATGTAATACACAAAATAAGTATTAAGTTGCAGGAGAGCCTATCCCAGCAAACAATGGGGCCAAGGCATGATACACCCCTGGACGGGATGCCAGCCCATTGCAAAGAAGACACACAGACATGCACACAATCACCCCAGGGACAATGTTCCCATAAACTAATTAACCTTCCAGTATGTTTTTGGACTGTGGGAGGACATACAGTTCTAATTATCAAGGACATGTGGAGAACATACTGTACAAACTCATAGAAGATGGGTCCGGTACTGAACCTACTCTATGTCCCCAGTGCTGAGAGGTAGCAATGCCCCTGTGACGCCCAGAAACATATTATAATAATATATACATGAAAAAATGTCAATGAACTAAATTATAATTCTCGTCATAAAAGCACTCTGCATTTGCGTTTTACAAAATAAGGATTACTTTACTAAGGAACCAAAACATTATATTATAAACTGGTCCAGGTATTATTGGTTTCTTTGAGCCCCTACTAATACGAATTTCATAGAAAGAGACTGTGTTCAGTAAATATATTCAATTTAGAAAACAGATACTGTATAGTATCATCTCACTGAATCCAGAGTTAGGTCCAGTAATACAGTAAATGCTGGTGGACTGTATGAGACTATAATTTGCTTTATTAAAATGTAAAGTTCACTTGCTTATATTTTGTCTATTGTAAATTCTGCATATGTGGTTAAATCTTTCTTGAGTTTGTGTTTTTAGATTTCCTATGGAAAGAGATTAAAAGATCTGAGCTCTAAATCGTTAAATGTGCATTCTGTACATGAACTCTGTACATTGACATACCTTTTCCTTCAGAATCTACCATTTTCATGTCAGCCCCAGCTTCTGCAAGAATAGTGACCACAGTGTCATGGCCTAACTCTGCTGCTTTCATCACGGGAGTGCAGCCCTGTTTGTCCTGCACATCAGGATGTGCCCCCAGAGACAGCAAAAATGAGCACATCTCTGAGTCATTTGCCACAGATGCCAAGTGTAGGGCACTGTTCCCACTCTGGGGCTCAGTTATGTTGAGGAGATTGGACACCCCATGTTTAACCAACTTCTCTATCTGGGCTTTGTCCCTCTCCCGAATGCATTGCAGCAGTTTGAAGATCTGCAGCACCTCTAACCGCCCCTGAGCAAAAGGGCTCTTCATGTTTCCACACTGGCTGTTCTTCTGAAGAAGTGCAATCCTAGAATAAAGGAAATAACACAGATGGTGTGCTAAAGTTATCTTATATGGTGCATTTCACATCAGTGCATTTCAAGGTGCTTTACATTTAAAACAAACAAAAACAATCAAGCATAAGTAACATGATGACACTGCTCAAAATAAAAAAAAACAGATTATTATTTCTAAACTAACACAGGAAATACAAATTTGAAGAAATTTGTTTTCAAAATACTTTAATCCGATGAAAGAAGCTGTAATGGTAGAAAGAAATATCTCAGTATGTCTTTGAGGTGGCAAGGATCCAAATTACTCAGGGATTTTAAATCAGAAGAAGTATTTTCAAAATTAATCCCAAACTTTGTGTGGGAAACCAGTGCAGTGGAGGTCATACCAGGAGCTATGGGCTTATAAGGACTTAGATCTGGTTTAAATTCCAGCAAAATACTGATACAGATTGATAGTGTGTTTACAGGCACCAGCAGAGAGTCCATTAGAAATCAAATAGCATAAAATGGTTTCCCAGCATTTAAATAGTAAAAAAAAAACTAGTTTATGAAAATGTATGATGACACATCGCTAAAGCGGAAATGAAGCAAGTGGAGATTGTGTTAGGCTGTACCCCACAGAGCTGAAGACATTAAAGACTGTGCTTTTTTTCCATAATTTCCTGACTTTAGTTTCTTGTCACTCTGCTCCAATGTATCTGTGGGTAAGGCACAATGGAGGTCTGGTCACTGGCCTGCATGGCCCTGGAGCAGGCTGGGCATGAGATGGCCATGCAGCACATACATGAGGAGAGAGAAAGGATTGAAGGAACCCCTGGGTAGGCTAATAAGCTTTAATGAAACACCACCCCAAAGCAGGGCAACTGCATGCACCATTCAAGAATGCAGTAGGGACTGTTGTGCGCCTGGCATCCCAGAGGTCCTGAGGCAGTTGAGAGGAGACGTGGATGAGTGAAAAAATCTCCTTGGCCACCAAGCCACAGTTACTTGTACAGTATGCAGGCTTAGCGGGAACATTCACCATTGAGCTCATTTAAGGATTAGGATCATGTTGTCCTCTTCTAGCACAGTGAGGTTATGGGGCCTATGGACCGGACTATGCTCTTAGTCATCAACTGCCTCAAAAAGGGTACAGTAACTCAGCCTGGGACCACCAGCTGTGTGTTAGGCAGAGACAGTGTAATTGTCATGGAGACCAAAGACTTGGGGGCAGAGGTTGAGGATTTGAGGATTAAGAAGAACAGAAACAGAGGCAGAGAGACCCTGGGTGGGCCGGAATGCTTTGTGAAAGTCTTTCTCCCCTTGGTTTTTCTGTTACCATGCTGTTCATCCTCTGTACATTCTTTAATTCCAAAAATAACATTGAACCCCAGTGTATGTATTGAATAAGGACTGCCATGTCATCGAGGGAAGTAGGCAAGGAAATTCCATGTTGATAGTGGACAGCCAAGGCAGCAACAGCAAGCTACAATTCCAACCAGAATTACTGTACAAAATCCCAGGCACTCTGGCAATTGCAGAGGCTCTGGCAGCTATAACAAAGGCACCCTGGACAGGATGTGGATTAGCATTAGTTCAAGAGTTTAATTTGCAAATACAGTAACTAAACCTATGGACTGTCTTGCTATGACTTACAGTATGGTAAAACTACAGTATATCATCTTTCAGTTTGGGAACCGTAAGGTCATTTTGCTTTTTTTCAGGCAGAAAATGAGCTTACTAGTAACAAAAATATCTTCATCAGTCAAACTTCCCAGGGCTTACATTGTAGAATCTAATTTTATGTTCTTCAGTAAAGATACAGTATGTGCACATGCTGACATTTGTTCATAATTACTGACGCTATACTTGGTTTGAAAGCTACTAAAACTGACATATTGGCCATTTCAAAACTGTCTCTTTCACAATAAATTGTCTTTCTATGTTTATGAAGTCCAAGTGGATAGCTGCGTCAGCATGCACAGGCTACAAAGGACACTTTGTTTTTCTTTCCAGCATGGAATAAACCTTTACTTGTTCATTTCTATGTTTGAGTGCAATAATTAATCGATTTTATATGGTTAACAAACCATTGCATATTTTAAACTAAATTATTTCACATTCAAACTAAATAAGAATACTAAACTTTATCTTGTTGTAGTAACTTCAATATACTTCCATGATAATAAGCAGAAACAGCATTAGTAAAAATCACAACACTTGAAATTTGCTCTACAGAAACAGCCCTCAAGCAAGTCGATAGTAAAATTCAGCAACTTACCCCCGAGAGAGTGTGCGATGGATTATGTGCAAACCGACACGATTACACAACTTTTCAAAGCATTGCTAAAACAAATGTGAGTCACACAACAAACAGCGCAAGACCAACTATCAGACAGGCTGACTTAGAACATAATCAGAAAACATTGTGTCACAACGGAGATGCCCCACACTCTGTTAGACGCTATGTATCCTTAGCAACAAAATGTGAGATCACAGGGAATGCGGGGAGGTTCTTAAACTGCGGTGTGTGTGGGCATTGTTACATTCTGACTTGTAGACTGTAGAGTACTATGCATGTCATTTAATTACCAAACACTTAGGTCTAATGTGACCTGTCTGGAATTTCATCCGTAAGTTAATGTTACTATCATTTTACTAATCTTACTTGCGCTTGCAATTTTCATGTGTAAAAAAAAAAAACTTTTAAACACAACTCATTTAATAGTGTTCAATGAAAATGTCAGTAAGGGATAGTGATCTTCCCCAAACTCCAACCCGTTTTGGTTTATTGTTCCAAGCTACAGTACTTTGTAAACAAGCCGACGAAGGCGAAACACTTTAATCGGATTCTTGATTTCCAAAACTGTAAACACATTTGTGTGGAATGTCTTAAAGATTACTAACAAATATGTTATATAAGCCGTGATAATTACAACGAAGTAATTGACAGTACAATGTATAACACAAACAGCTTAATCATGAGCACAATCCGCAAACAGGTTCACAGAAACGAAAAAATCCGGAAAGTGCCGAAACATGTCGGACATATTGGATTATAAAAGTGAGGTTTATCCACCCAGACTGCAGAACTGTGACAGAATCACACCCCCTGGCTGCGGGAAAAAAATCCAAAGAGCACTCAAATTATGTAACAGGGACACCTTGCCGTCCGAAGTCCACGTTATACATTTTATACGAGAGAAATGGGGGATAAAAGGATCTTGTGTATCGGTTTAGTGTGCTTGGATATCATCAATGTCGTGGACAAATACCCGGAAGAAGACACCGACACAAGGTTTGGCAGGATGCTACAAGAGCTGTGCATGTGCTGTTTGGTTGTTAAAACAACAAATACAGCAGTCTGATTAGTTCTTCACCTTCCGCTAGAGATGTACATTTTACCACGTGACGGTTATACAGTTGCAGTGTTTTGACAGTCTGTGTTTTCCTGCCAGAAATGACACAATGTTTTTCATGTATGGAAATTTAGAAATAACAGAAATTACAACTGTATCACCAGTGAAAGTTTAACATGATGTGTTTCTGATTTGTGTTTAGGGTTTGTGGATTTACAGTAGCTTGCATTCACTGCGTTATTACAGTACAGACTGTGCATATTACCAAGCATACTACTAGCAAGTAAAAGCTGCATACACAATACGCAGTAGGATGCTTTCAAGTCTCGGGAATATACTGTAGATGTCATTTTTAGTCGAGGTACAGTATACACGAATGAAGAAAAACATTAGGGGAAGACGAAATCGAAAGCCTGGATTAGATAGGGATGTATTGTTCAGTACGCCAAGCACTGATATTAAAAAGCACTGTAAATTACTGCGTATCATATGTCAAAATAAACATTGAGATTTCATGACTATCAGATGAATAATACAGTAATCTAGTATTCTGAGATTTCAGTGTTCCTTTTGTATTTTCTTTTGGATAGGGTTACAGCAGTCATATGCCTGATTGCAATGCTCGTGCTTGTGACAGCATTGGCAGATGCTGCTGCACAAAGCAGTACTTGAACATTTCCAGGACACTTTAAATCTCAGCTGTAATAAACTGTTGATCATGCAGTAGGATGGTCAGGTGCTTTCAGTTCCTTATTTTACTATAAGTTGTTTACTCTTAAATAAATAAAGTCTTCTGGAAGTATTTACATTTCTTTCAGTGGTGGCATAGCCATGAAACATTTCACTGTTATGAAATCAAAGCTTTATTTACTTGGGAATTAAGCAAGCAGGGTCCTTTTTTATTATAAAGGAGAATTACTGTGTAAACCATATTGTAAACCCTGCATGTCCACAGCATTTACGGCATACTTACAAAAAGTGACAGCTTGTGTTTCTTTATCAAGGTGTTTGTCACAAAGATGGCAGCGTGGTGGCAATGCCTCCAATTCCTGCACAGTTCTCTCTCTCCTGGGGGCACCATGTGCGTTTATGGGCTCTCTGGCTCCAGGCCCAGTGGCCGAGTAAGTACCACAATTGCACTTCTTCTAGAAACGGCTGTGAAACCGGATATAGCTCTGTAAAACTACATTTTGTATGCTATCCAAAACTTTCTAGCAAGTTTTTTGTTCTAGTTCTTCTAGGCCACATAATTTGCAGAAGACACAAAAAATAAAGTTTAACATGCTTTGGATTAAATGGAAAAAATCTGCTAAAGGGGAATTTCCCTGCAATAATGTGAAATGCTCAAATAATATATTAATGTTCTATATGTCTTAGGTTTGAAATTCAGGTATATCAGTGGTTTCAAACAGGGATAGGTCAGTTGCTTACTCGAGATGGGCTAGTGTTTCCTGTGCTTTAGCAGAATTTTATACAGTACAGTATATTTGCAACATGTGAAATCAAGAGCTTGTATATTTATGATAAAAGGCACAGGAACATTTTTCAGCGTTGATTGCAAATGTTAAAAATAAGTCAAAAGATCCAGCAAGCATACAGTATATATATATATTCTCACATACTGTAATTGTGAAATTGGAAAAAAAACATAATTCATGATTTAACAGATATTCGCCAATAACAGACTCCACTTCCTCCCTATTAGTCTGTTAAACTGAGGGTTTACCATATCTAAATAATTCACTAAGATAATTAAAATACTTAGTAATTAGTAATACTTAGTAAATACCAGTATTTAAAGACACTCTTTTGTAAGGGTAGTAATTTATGTTTTATTGCCAAAATCTAATACATGCTTGCACAACATAAACTGCCTAGATTTCCACTCAGCAGATCAGTAATTTCCTCAGTGGAAAAGTAATTTATGACTTTTTTTACTTGATCTGATGAGCAACAGTTGCCACGCATCACCTGCACATCAACTGAAGATCAACTGGATCTTCTTCTACAGTTCAAATCCTTTAAGATGAAAAGTGGTATTCAAAAGCAATCGCATATGATTAAGTTGTAAATGTTTAACAGACACAGTCTTTTCTGTAACCAGAAATTAGGCTAAGGATTTGATATCAATGGAACATGTATGTTCTGAATTGGAATGTTTCAGCCATTTTGATGTCTGTTGAACTTTTCTTAAAATAGCATTGGCTAGCTCCATCCCTCATGGTCCTGAACAGACACATGTCAGTTGGCCACAGTGCACTTTATTGTTTACACATGAAGTGATGGGCTTCTCTCTTTTCTGTAGGTGGCCCTGTAGTTAGCAACCTGCAGACAGTGGGTCTTGATAGCATGGACCACCTTGGTTAATATAATCTACACCTTCAATATTAAATCTGAATAATGATGCCTTTAACTGCTGCAGTATGTTGAACTACTGTGTGTCATACGTATAAACTAAACATGTTGAAGACTAAGGTTATGAAATAGGTAATAAAACAAAACTTTATAAAAACAGTAGCAAACCAAGGGATTCACATTTAACAGAGGAGATAAAACCTTCTACCACAGAGTGATTCAGTTTAAATGTCTTAATATTACTTATGCTAAATTAGCCAAAGCTCTAATGGCCAGTTTTAGGGTATCGCAGTATAGTATTAGAAATGAGGGACTATTTGGTTGTAATGGGGAGTGAAATATAGTGAAATGTTGCCTATTGTACATGACATTCCTGTGGGAGATCAGGTGTATGAAGTGAATTAGAATTGGAATTATTTAAGCCTGTGTTTATCATTCAGAAGAGATTCCAGAGATAAAGTAAGTATATCTTGTGTTCACATTTTTTGCTGCTGTCTCTATTTTTTTTATACATTTTAGAGGGAAAGGAAATGAGGTGAGTTGTAGACCTTTGGGAGGGTTGTAGTAGGTCCTCATCATGAAGGACGTACACAATTATGGATGATTTGCTCTTTATTGCCTCTCTGTTCCCCTTGTGCCTTGGGCTGCTGTTGTGCAGTTTTGTTCTGGATGACTTCCGGAGGTATAAGATTGACACTTCTCTCCTTGCGGAGCATTCAGGATGTTCTTTCCCATCCTCCATAGTGATCAGCAATTTGAGAAATGGGAGCCGTACCATACTGCATATGAACAGGTTTGTGGGGGTAGGTTATGTTTATTCTCTGTGAACAGGTCTTACATCATTAATTGTAACTACTGTACACTATGTGTTACAAGGATTATCTCTTTTTTTGGTGTGTGTCTTTATAGGCTCTATAGGCTTCAGTATATTGACTTGAATGCAAAAAGTAGTTGTACTGGAATTAAGTATATTACATACTGTAGTACCTTAAGGGAGAAGTTGGAAAGACAATTTGCTTACACTGAAGAGTACAATTAAATGATTGTATGAAGATATACAATATGGATATTTAATTTTATAAACTGATTTTGTCAGATGGGTGGCACGGTGGAGGGGGAGTTAGCATTACTGCCTCAGCCCTGGAGCCCTGGGATCACTTCCATAACTGGGGTGCTATCTGCATGGAGTTTGTACTGTATGTCATCCCCGATTTCTTCCCACAGTCCCACAGTCCAAAGACATGTCCAAAGTGAGGTTATCTGGCTGTTTGTGTCTGCGGTGCGGTGTCCCGTCCAGGATGTACCCTGCCTTGCGATTGATGCTTGCTGGGATAGGCTCCGGCTCCTCCATGACCTCGTTAATTATAATATGCTGTAGCCTATCCCCTTTCTACTCCAGCACAGCAAAACCTTATTCTTTTTCAGAAAATAATTAGATACTAATAGATATTTATTAGCTTTCAGCCCCAGAGGTTATAGTTTATAGTTGACTGGAATACTGGAATCCAGCTTTGATGCAGTCTTTATAGTGATGCTGAAATCATAGTATCTATATTTTTAAGATGAGATAATTTATTTAATTTAAAAATAAAATTTCAGTATTAATCAAGGACAAGAAATTCCATTACATGATTTCTGAACCTGACAGGATTGTAATGTTAAAAAGATCTTCAGAATCATCCTTTGTTTGCAGTTTTAATTTAGTGGTCTTTTCTTGTAAATTTGACCTGGTGTCAACTAAAATACCGAAGGCACATTGTTACTTAAGAAGCCTGATTCTGTGACTCTTGCTCTGACTATAAGGAACATGTAAAATAGTATTCTAGCATTAGAAGAACCTTTCAGTGATGTATTATGCCAACTCTGTGGGGGAAAAAAAGCTGCAGGTTCCTCAGTGGCTTAACATGCGAAGGCTTATTTCAAGCACAAACTGAGCTTGATGAATTTATGCTTTGTGGGTTCAAGCCTGGGTCATGTCAGTAGTCGATTGTGACAGGCATTCCTCAAGTGATAGCACTCAGCTGGCTCAGAACTGCTGGGGGTGGGGCTTGAGTTAGCCAAGCAGAGCTTTCAGCTTTCAGTGAAAGAGTGACCCCTGTGGCTCGATTAGCACCTGCAAGCTTATGGTGGCATCATTGAGGGATGTGCCTCTCCTATGCTCGGTGTAGAATCTCCTGTACATCGCTGACAAGTTTGTAGTGTGTGAAAAGATTATTAAGTTGATGGACAGTTGGGACCCAAGGGTTTATCTTTACTTCCTAATTCAAACCTTGTGGGTGAATGGTTTGTGAGGTCAAAGCAAAATGACCCAATTTCAAATGCGGAGGACATATATTAATGTACTGTACAGAATATTAATGAATAGATATTTCTAAATTGATTCAGTACAGTACCTTCAACATTAGAATAAAATGATATCTCCTTAATTCCTTAGGGTATAAAACAGAGAAGGAAAAATTAATAGGCTTTTTAGAGGATGAAAGGGATACTTTTGTTTTTAGAGGGAAAATATATTTTCCAGGGGCAATGTTTTGTAGATTGAACTGCAGTAAAGGTGAGACTAGGTCTGTGAGAAAGCTTCCTTAGATTTGTGTGAACTTATGGTACATAAGTTAGCTACACTGAGCAGCCATGTGTGCTTGGATATTATTTTTTAAAGTGAATGTTTTAGCAAATGATTTGTCACTAATAACGTTACTGATTATGAGCTTAGCTTTTTAGATTGGTGATGGATACCGATTTGCAGGGTTGCATCTTTGACTCTATGTTAATTGTCCAGAGCTAGCCAGGACAGAACTCTTGTAATCCTTAAGAAGAACATTCTTACTGAAATGTTCAGATGTTGAATTGGATTTTATTTTTCAGATAAGCTCTGAATTTAATAAGCTTTAAGAAGAAAAAGACAATTTCACTGTAAATTGTATTTAAATTGCTGTTTTTCAAATATAAATGCATACATGTGGGAACAGATGTGCTACCTATTTAAAAAAATACATTTTTGTATTGTGCATCAGGCTCTTGATTGACATTCATGGTGAACTCGGTTTGATACTACTGCTAAAACTATCTGGTTTAAAATCCTCTTCATAAAATGAAATTCAGTGACTCTTAGCACCTTAGAAAAGACTCCTAAATCATGTGTGAATTAGGATAAAACAGCAAACTAATGATTTTGTTATTTCAGAACAAAATTTTGCATTGGTAGAGTTCTTCTTATGCGTATTTCTCAAGTGTATTATTATTATTATTCTCAGGTTTATTTATTATTATTTCATTTTCATTTACAGTACATTGCATGTCAGTATACAGTGAAAGCAACTCGTGACAAATATGTGTGCCAACATACAGTATGTGGGAACAGATAACAGAGGGGAGAAAAAGCAAATGATGCTTATTTTAAAACACAGCACTGAAAGAATACCCTGTACGTTTTAACATTGATCTAAAGATGTGAGCACAACAGCCTTTTTGGTAATTCAGACTACAGTTATGTATGACGAGGAAAATCCATAAGGAGTAAAAGTTAACTTCACCTTCATGAACTGAAAATATTGACTGTCTATGAGTAGGTACAGTAATTACATTCTGTTTGCTTCTTACTTTCTAATGTGGCTCTCTTTAAAAGCAGGTGTGCTGCCTCTGGACCTCAAAGCCGCCTTCCCACTCCTTTTCCTATGGCTTAAGGGGAGTGCACAGCATGTCATTTATTCTCTCTCTCTTTATGTCTCTCTCTAAAAAGCTTTATAGTGGATGATTTTAAGAGGCGTGATATCGAAGTGTCGGGGGTGGCGTGGCAGAGGGAAGGGGTGACTCCTTGTGCCTGTTGTGTCGTTTGTCCCCCCAGTGGCTCACGCACTGTCGTTCTCTTCGACACGTAAGATGGCTTGTTGGTCTTGCCAACTGCAAAACTGAACATTTTGGCAGCAGAATTTATTCAGTGCCACTGCAGAGATAGCAAGATGGCTGATATTGGTGATTGTAAATACTGTATATTGGCAGGGGAAATTGACTTCAGATTGACTTTTATTATTGTTTTATCCTTTGGATTAATCTTACAGGTCTTGGTGTGAAGATTTTTTAGGATTTTGTAGCAAGGCAGGGCTTAAAAGTAACAAGCAATTACAAGTAGGTCCCTGCTACTTAGGTTTCTTTGTATAAGGCTGTTTGATCTTATAGTCAGTAGACATAGACAGACACATGTTTCATGCCATACACATGGTAGAAAATCTAAGAAGTTTTTATTCATTTGATGATTGAATCAAGCACTGAAAGCCTGAAAATGGGTCAAATCACATCTGTGAGTAGGGTGCTTGTCATATGATGTGAGACCCTATAACCCTGCTGTAAAACTGAACGGTTGAGTGATATTTACAGTATATGCTATAGTTTTTCATGAAGGGGATTTACAGATAAAAAAAAATCCAATAAGACGAAGAATGAGAACTTCACATGTAGGTTACTGCCTATCTCTGCTGTAGCACTGTGTGCCTGCGTGCCAATTAAGAATCATAATCAGTATGCCTGCCAAACATCACAATTTTTACAGTAATTTACTTAATCAATTTTGATTACCTATCAGAGTTTGTATCTGGTTAATTTTTCAGTTTCAATTACAGTAATTGGGGAAACTAATGAAAGGAAGCCAGAACCACAGCACAATTTTTTAATAACTTATCTACAAGGTGTACTACGCTCTGTTTTATAGGCTTAAATAACAGAAGGTAAGGGAATAAATCAAACTAAATTGTTATTTAAAAATAGATTATATGTAATATAAACTAATTATTATGGTGAACAATAATGTAAGAGTAGAGATTAAAATATTTCAAGTAGGTAGCTGCGTCAGCATGCTTAGGCTGCAAAGGAACAAGTAAAGGTTTATTCCATGCTGTCGAGAGAAGAAAAGAAACACAACATTTCGGCAGTGGAGCCTTCTTTGGGTGTGAGAAAGACAGGGAACTCAACAGATGTTATATAGCATCATATACAGTGGTGTGAAAAAGTGTTTGCCCCCTTCCCGATTTCTTATTTTTTTGCATGTTTGTCACACTGAAATGTTTCAGATCATCAAACAAATTGAAATATTAGACAAAGATACAGTAACGCAAGTAAACACAAAATGCAGTTTTTAAATGAAGGTTTTTATTGTTAAGGGGAAAAAGAAATCCAAACCTACATGGCCCTGTGTGAAAAAGTGATTGCCCCCTAAACCTAATAACTGATTGGGCCACCCTTAGCAGCAGCAACTGCAATCAACCGTTTGCGATAACTAGCAATGAGTCTTTTACAGCGCTGTGGAGGAATTTTGGACCACTCATCTTTGCAGAATTGTTGTAATTCAGCCACATTGGAGGGTTTTTGAGCCTTAACCGCTTTTTTAAGGTCGTGCCACAACATCTCAATCGGATTCAGGTCAGGACTTTGACTAGGCCACTCCAAAGTCTTCATTTTGTTTTTCTTAAGCCATTCAGAGGTGGACTTGCTGGTGTGTTTTGGATCATTGCCCTGCTGCAGAACCCAAGTGCGCTTCAGCTTGAGGTCAGATTCTCCTTCAGGATTTTTTGGTATACAGCAGAATTCATGGTTCCATTTACCACAGCAAGTCTTCCAGGTCATGAAGCAGCAAAACAGCCCCAGACCATCACACTACCACCAGCATATTTTAGTGTTGGTATGATGTTCCTTTTCCGAAATGCTGTGTTACTTTTACGCCAGATGTAATGGGACACACACCTTCCGAAAAGTTCAACTTTTGTCTCGTCAGTCCACAGAGTATTTTCCCAAAAGTCTTGGGGATCATCAAGATGTTTTCTGGCAAAACTGAAACGAGCCTTTATGTTCTTTTTGCTCAGCAGTGGTTTGCGTCTTGGAACTCTGCCATGCAGGCCATTTTTGCCCAGTCTCTTTCTTATGGTGGAGTCATGAACACTGACCTTAACTGAGGCAAGTGAAGCAGTCCTTTGGATGTTGTTGTGGGTTTTTTTGTGACCGCTGCGCTGTCGCTGTCGCTGCGCTCTTGGGGTAATTTTGGTCAGCCGGCCACTCCTGGGAAGGTTCACCACTGTTCCGTGTTTTCGCCATTTGTGGATAATGGCTCTCACATTGGTTCGCTGGAGTCCCAAAGCTTTAGAAATGGCTTTATAACCTTTTCCAGACTGATAAATCTCAATTACTCTGTTTCTCATTTGTTCCTGAATTTCTTTGGATCGCAGCATGATGTCTAGCTTTTAAGGATCTTTTGGTCTACTTCACTTTGTCAGGCAAGTCCTATTTAAGTGATTTCTTGATTGAGAACAGGTGTGGCAGTAGTCAGGCCTGGGTGTGGCTATAGAAATTGAACTCAGCTTTCCAAAGATGCGACAAACAACAGTTGATTTATGTTTTAACAGGGGGGGCAATCACTTTTTCACACGGGGTCATGTAGGTTTGGATTTTTTGTTCCCTTAATAATAAAAACCTTCATTTAAAAACAAAATTTTGTGTTTACTTGTGTTATCTTTGTCTAATATTTCAATTTGTTTGATGATCTGAAACATTTCAGCGTGACAAACATGCAAAAAAATAAGAAATCAGGAAGGGGGCAAACACTTTTTCACACCACTGTAGATTAAAGTATGACTTTTTCTCTGGATTTAGTCCATGAGAATTACTTGAGTTTGAAACATCAATAATTTGTGTCTAAACTAATTTTTTTCAATTCTGTTTTGCAGTCTCCAAGTATAAGTAATTGTTTTTTTAGTCTTACCCTTAATATAAGTGAACATGACTGCAGACTTGTGTAATTTTGTACACAAGGAGAGGTATCCAAGCACAGATGGCTGACAGTTTTAAGTTTCCTTTTGTTAAGGAAAAAACATCTGAATAACTAAAAACATCTGAATGATTTAGCACATAAATTTAAATTTAGTGAAAAACTCCCTCTATACGTCTTGCTTATTACATATAGAGCTAAGTTATAATTTAAGTATTTCATTATTTTTTGTGTCATTAACGTGACCTATTGTTTGTTATTACCATGAGAAGCATCTTCACTCTAGACACTCATTAATCTGTGTTCCTTTAGAAACACGCAAAGCAAATACTGCTCCAGTGTGGAGTAGTGAATAGGGCTCTGCAGTTCAGACTGGAGTGTTGTGAAGTATGCAGCTGTTGTACCCCTGGGCAAGGTTATGGCCATCAGATTGCAGTAAATGCCCTATAGTACAATATATACAGTATGTGTACTGTCCAGGACATCATTGAAAATGAGAATTTGCTCTATTTTTGAGTAATCTGGCTTAAAGAAAATTTTAAATAAAAAAAAATGAAACCTTCACAAACATATTTTAATTTCTCAGTGCACTACATTTTGCATATCAATGAAATTATATTTCCAATAACTTTCATATGTTTTCATACTTTATTGTTGTTTGAATTGGTTTCATAGTAATGAGGCACTTTGTTGGGAAGACCTTATGGAGCTATAACATTTTCAAAATTGTAATTTCAACTTTGTGTTGAAATTGCAATGACTTTTAATCATATTGGGCTTAAGCGTTTGATAAGAAGAAATGCTTTGCCCTTCATATTCTCATAAATTATATGAAGATGGTGAAACTCTTTATACTTTACTTCTTGTAGATAATCTTCTTAGTGCTGTGCTCTGGAGTATTTGTTCATCATTTACTAATAATTATATGATAAAACAGAGTTGCAAATATATCAAGAAATACAAAGGTATGAAAAAAGGGACAACAGTTGACATAGTTTTCATAACTCAAATGTTAAAAATGTTTGTATCTTCTCTTTATTTTCTGACTGTGGTCAGGAATTTGCCTGATGTAACAGCTGATGATTTCCAAAAGGTGGACCTTACCAAGTACAAATGGATTCATTGGGAGGTGAGAAAATTCAATGCATAGCAGAGTTTTAGTTAGTTTTCTATATGATGTTTCCTGTAGAAAAGCAAGTTCTGTCATCTTTCACAACCCTTTAGAAAGCTCAGTTAAAATCTTAATTCATCGTTATAACCCACTTTGAACTGCAAGGTACTATAAGACACTTACTGTATGTGTCAACAAGGCTCACTTTCCAAATAGATCCTCACAGGTAACCCTCAGGTAACAGGTAACCCTCACAGCTAAAGCTGCTTGGAATGTTTGGTTCTACAAAACTGTCAGCACTGGCTACTATATTAGGTCCACCTATTTTTCAATAGTTGAGCACTAGGAGAGATATGGCAGTCAAGCCTCTCCTGTAGGTTCCATCCAATATCAACAACTTGGTACACAATAGCCTAAACCACAATTTAATAGCACACAATCTTCAAGTCTTGCATTTGGCCAAATTCTGTATTATTAGATTATTTGAGGCTGACACAAGAAGTTTAATTTGTTACTCTCTATCTTGTTACTCTCCAATTCCACATATGAGAAAGCTTTCAAAATTCAATACTGAAATAAAAAAATAATTCTAGATTGAAAGATTTGGGAGTGACATTCAGGCTTGACTTACTCGCTGAGGTTTCTAAATCCACATTGAACAAACTCCAGCATGTCCAAAATTCGCCAGCCAGAATCTTGAACAGATCTAGTGCAAGTGTTCACATTACTCCTATCCTGGAGTCCTTGCAATGGCTTCCTGTCACGGTTCGTGTCAACTTCAAAATCCTCATCCTCACCTATAAGGCTCTGCATGGCTTGGCACCTCAGTACCTGTCTGAGCTACTATCATCCTACTCCCCACCTCGCAACCTTCACTCTTCTAATTTTGGACTCCTATCTGTCCCTCAAGCCCATCTACACTCTATGGGTGACAGGACCTTCTCCTGTTATGCCCCAAAGCTCTGGAACTCTCTCCCCAAGGATTTCAGAGAGTCACCTTCTCTAAACTCCTTCAAATCTAGACACAAAGCCTTTACTTAACTGGTTCTGTTCTCCTCTGCTTCTAATATATTCAGTACCCCCATCTACTGTATCTTGTGTATGTTTTTTATTTTTTAATGTTGTTCTGTATAGCACTGTATAAAATTAAGTTTATATTATTATTATTATTACTGTATTTTAAAAATTAAGTTTATATTATTATTATTATTATTATTATTATTATTATTATTATTACTACTGTATTTTAAAGTAGGTATGGCATTTACCCCAAATATTACTGTTCTGAATCCATCAGTGGAAGCCTGTAGAAAAGTGGCTAGCAAATTGACACTTTTGGAATTAACTATCCTGATGAAGATGGTAAGAAATTAGCATTAATGCACAGTAAGAGAATTTTATTTTGATTGATTGATTTTTTGTGACATAATCTGTTAATGTGTTGCCAGAGTTTTGCTCATTTTGAAGATGCTTAGAGTCCATGAATTCCTTCTATGTATTCATCATAAACCATAATTAGATGCTCAACTGAAAACATGCCTCCATATACTGTGTACTTGAAATAAACTTGCCAAGCAACATTTCATCTTCTTTGGTTTCTACTTCTCGTCATGTAACTGTGCTATGCTACCAGTGAGCAAACCTACTGTAGAGCCTTAGTTCATACAACAGATTGGGAACAGCATGTTTGGATTTTGTCATGCAGCTCAGTAATGGTGTGATTAGCTGACAGCAAAAGCTGGATTAGGAACAAGTGCTGTGTTGTATCTTTTGACTATAGGGTCGTAATCCTGGGGAGCAGGTGAAGATGATTAAACATGTGGAGGAATACAACAGCTCTGTGATGGCAGAAGAACAAATTACCATTTCTGTGGAGATTGAGAAGACCAGGGAAGAGCTGTATCAGCTCTTTCAGTATGGAGATGTGGTAAAGTGCTTTATTATGTATCCTTAGGCCAAACAATATCAGTATACACCATATAGAGGTACATGAAATCTGTAGGCTTTAATGTACATTTATTATTTAATGTATCTATATGCAGTGGACTCTTATTTACACTTCCTGTTTAGTTTATTATTTTTTAAACACATTACTGCCCGTATTTGTACATTTAATAAAAGATGAAATAATAACATTTAAAAATAGATCATAATATTAGTTTTATGTCTTATTAGTCTTAAATTACTTCATTAGAGCAGGGGTTCCCAGCTACTGCCATCGGAACCCCCATAACTGTTGGCTTTTTTTTTGTTTCTGTTATATTAACGTAAATTGAACTAATTTAATTGCTTTCAGTTCCTAAACATTCTTAGATTTCTTTCGTTCTAAGATTGACAACATCCGGCATCACATTTCTTCATTACACATATCATTTCCATACCTCCTCCCTCCTCATCCAACTTCTCTGGTTCCCTACTCTCCAGCTTCTCTCTTCTTGACTCAGCATCCCTCAATAAACTAGTTGCACGCATGAAACCCACCACATCTATTTTAGATCCCGTTCCCACCACTTTATTTCAGATCTGTTTCTCTTCTCTCTGTCCCATTGTCCCCAATATTAAACATGAATCCATGAGCACTGGCATTGTACCAACGGTCCTCAAAACTGCTGCCATTACCCCTGTGTCAAAAAAGCATGGCTCTCGACAATCTTACAATTTTCGCCCCATCTCCAACTTACCCTTTCTTTCTAAAATTCTAGAACGTGCTGTCACGCTTCAGTTGCATAACCACCTCATGACAAACAACCTTTTCGAACCCCTCCAATCTGGCTTCCGTCAACTTCACAGCACAGAAACTGCCCTGGTCAAAGTCACCAACGATCTTCTAATAGCTTCTGATTCTGGTTCTCTTTCTATACTCATCCTTCTTGATCTCAGTGCTGCTTTTGACACTGTTGACCATAACATCTTACTTTCTCATTTTGAGACTGTGCTTGGAGTTTCTGACATTGCTCTTAAATGGTTCAAATCTTACCTCACTGATTGCTGTCACTTTGTCTCTCTTAATGGGTACAGGTCTGAAATTGGTCTTGTTAAGTCTGGTGTTCCTCAGGGCTCAATACTGGGCCCCTTGCTCTTCAGCATTTACGTGTTCCCACTTGGTCAGCTTTTAAGATCACATGGCCTCAGCTTTCATTTTTACACTGACGATACTCAAATATACATCCACACCAAACCTGACATTGATGTGGCTGTCTCTATTCTATCTAATTGCATCTCTGACAAACATTTGGAAGAGTCAAAACTTCCTTCATCTTAACGGCGACAAGACTGAAGTCATGCTTATTGGCACCCCCCATCAACTTTGTAAAGCCAGTCCTGTAACCCTATCTGTAGATGGCTCTGTACTTGAGCTTCAATCAAAATTGAAAAACCTTGGGGTTAT